AGCAAAGAATAAACTAAAATATAATTTCATGTCTAAAGATTCTTAAAAATTAAAGGATTGGTGCCTGAATGTAGCTCTTTTTGATATAACTAGTGGCTGAAAGCCTATAGGATAGTTGAAATCTTTCACTTTTCTCCTTTGAGGTTGGTAAAAGAGTATTAATTATGTACATGTGTATTATTTTATCTGTCTGTTCTTCCAGATGGTGAAGAGTAAAGCCAATGTGGTGTAGTAGTTAAGAACACAGGATTCAGGAGACCTGGGATCTAGCCCCTGCTCAGCCATGGAGCTCATTGGGTGACTTTGGGCCAGTCACAGACTCTCAACCCAACTTACCTCACATGCTTGTTGCAGGGATATGATTGAGATGAGGAAGAAAATTATGTAAGCTGTCTTGAGTTCCTGGGAAGGAAAAATATGGGATATAAATAAGTACAATAAAAGGCTTAATCTCCTTCACTGTTCTTATGGAAGGAATGCTGCCATGCAGGTGGCACCTTGCATGGCACTGTGCTGAAAAGAAATTTGGAGAATGATGACCATGAAGCATTAGAATCAGCAGTGCTGATAGACAGACAAATGGTCCAACCCTGTATAAGGCAGATTTCAATTTGCCTCTTCCCCTAGTAAAATCTTTGCTGAAGCACATTGCTTTTCACATTGATCCTACATTAACCAACATCAGAGGGGATAGCATGCTTCAGTGCCATGCATATTCCAAATGCAGCCCAGGGAAGACTGGTAGTAGATGGAAAATTATTGCTGCATTTCAGTATATGCACTCAGGTGGTTATACATAGTAGACTGTGATGTGGAGGGGATAATCCCAAACAATTATTATTATTACCCTAACCCTAACCCTAACTCAACTTTATTTCTATACCATATAATGACCAATGTTTCCTGGGCATTTCACAATAGCAGATAAAATACAATAAAAGTCATTAAAAATATACTACAGGTTTTAAAAGCCAAATTTACAACTAAATTTAAAAAGCTAAAATAGCATGGATAAGTTAAGTTACAAGAACTGTTAAGTGGTTGACCTAATGCCTCAATATAATATAATACTGACTGTCATAGAGAGCTGGCTTAATCTGGTGCTGAAAAGATATCCAATTTGGCCTCAGGCAGACCTCAATGGAGAGCTTGTTTCACATAGGTGGAAGAGATTGTCACTGAAAAGGCTCTTCTCCTTGTTGGCACCAACCAAGCCTTCCTTGGAGGTGACAACTGCAGGCAGACACCAGATCTTGGTCATACTGTACAGGCAGTTGCATTGGGAGAGAAGCTCCATTCAGGATTGTAAGGCCAAGCTGTGCAGGGCTTTATAGCTTAAAAGCAGCACCTCAAATTGGGCTCAGAAGTATACAGGCAGCTGAAGCAAGTGGGCCATAGCTCCTGTTACATATTTAGACATCCTGGCCCCAGTGATTAATCTGGCTGCTGCATTTTTCAGAAGCCGCAACTTCTGTCTGAAACATCAAGGGCAGCCTCACATAAAGTGCATTGCAATAATCTAATTTAGAGATCACCAGAGCATAGATTACTGAAACCAGGCTATCCCTGCCCAGATGGAGGGTCCACCAGCTGCCCCCTGCTTGTGTTTCCCAGCAACTGGTATATGCAGGCATTCTGCCTTTGCTATGGGAGGCAGGACATGGCCATCAGGACTAGTAGCTATTGATAGACTTCTCCATATTCCTCTATGGCTTCTTCTATCCTTTTTCATACAACAGCAAATCTAATCATGAAGGAAAGACAGGCAAGTAGCAAGGTTTTTACAGGTTCTTTTGATTAGTAGTGCTAGGATCCACTTGCTTGGAAGCATCCTGAAAGAATTTTTGGCAATACATTGCCAAATGCAATACATCTTTCCAAATGCTTCCTGCAGGACCTCAGGCAGAATTAGCTTGCTATGTTTGTGCTCTCTCTGCATGTGCAAGAGCCCCATGTGTGGGCTCCTTGATAATTTCGCAAGTGCCCATTTGCAGCATGTATACCAGTTAATTACCTTTGGGCCTAGCATACGATTGGAGGACAAATGTTGAGAATGAAGGGGCATAGGAAGCTGCATTATAGGAGATTATTCATCCATGTAGAACCAATGTTGTCTACTGAAAATGGCAGCAATTCTCTTCAGATCTCAGGCAGAAAGAAAGTTTTCTCATCAGCTGTTAATTCAAATACGTGCAGCCATGCCATGGCTTACTCCTGCTTCCTCACCATTTGCAAATTATCAGATTATACTATTATTTATTTATTTATATTGCAATTTATATCCTGCCTTTTTCCTACAAAGGGCTCAAGGCAGCTTACATCATCTCTCCTCCTCCATCTTATCCCCACAACAACAACCCTGTGAGGTAGGTTGAGTTGAGAGTCTGTGACTGGCCCAAAGTCACCCAGTTGGCTCCATGGCTGAGCGGGGACTCGAACCCAGATCGCCTGAGTCCCCGTCCCATGCTCTTAACCACTACACCGCACTGGCTCTCAATATTAATAAGAAGATACCCTCTCATCAAGTATGGCCTACTCCAAGACTGGTAAATTTCCAAGAGAAGAGCAATAAGTACATCAAACCCAAAAGGGATCTACCTTGTGACATGTGTTTGTGTGTAGAAGTTAGAACAGAGATTTATATATCATTGAAGACCCGTTAAGGAAATGCATAAATCAATTTATTACTTCAAGATGGCTTATGCTATGCTCTGGGTAGGTGGCATTAGTATGCCTGGTCATCCTAATCCAGATTATGAATGAATGAATGAATGAACAAACAGAAATAAAAGGTGTTCACCTGGTTTCCTGAAAAGAAAATAAGGATAGTGCCAAGTGTACTTCTTTTGAATTCCAGAGATGGGGCACCACTACAGAAGAGGCCCTACCTCCTGACCTCATGCAACTCTTATCAAAATATGATAGGACCCAAAGCAGGCATTATAGGCAATTTCATCATTCCAAATAAGTTTGTGTGTAAACAGCAAGTCCTTCAAATAGCTTGCCTCAAGACACTGAGGGCTCTGTAGGACAGATCCGGCATTTTGAAATGGTCCAAAAAATGGACTGGGAATCAAATTTAGCTATCGACAAGTTGTGGCAAGAAGTGTTCTGCACCTTGGTACCAGTTAATACTCATACATTTTATGCTGCTTGATAAATTAATTTTTGAATAACTCTCATGAGGAAGTGGAAATCTTAATTTCTGTAATTTTCCAAATGGACTATGTCTCCAAGATGATAATTATAAGATGTATCTTAGTGGGAGAATAAGACACAAACATTTGTTAAAAGTGTCATCAGTTTATTTTCCATATAAAAGCTCTCAGGCTATGGTATGATCTAGTCACTGACTAATTAGCCTATTGCGGGTCTCCCAGAAGATCATTTTGACAGTGTTCTGCACACATTTCTTTTGTTTTTCTGGTTTTGGGGGAGGGGGCTGGTGGGGGAGACTATTAAGATTGTGTTGGAAAAAATACAGAGCATGTGTTGTTCATAAAACTTGCACGAAATATCAACATTCACACAGTACAATTGGAAGCAGATTTATTTGGATTTAAATCCCCCTGAGTTCAGTGGGACGTGTGCAGTAGTGGGACAATGCACAGTGTGTGTGCTTGTGGCTTCAGCCTTAGCTAAAAACTCTGCAGAAAACCCTTCTGATCTAGGACCTTTAAAATAAAACGGTCTTATGAACAAACCCCAGAGTTAACAAATAAGAAGTCAACACTAATCGCAGTGTCTGCACCCACCACAGTTATACTGAAGGTAGAATCAGGGAATGGATTGCCTTATGAGCAGCCTGGTCCAATGTTTGTTTACTGGTGAGCAAATTACATTCAATTCCAAAGGCCTTAATCCCAGGCATTTGTGCTTGTTGTGAACAATAGACTAACATACATTTCCAGAATGGGCCGACGTTGATCTCATTATCTCTTGAGAACTCTTGATATGGGATACAGATTCAGTAGATATGCACCATGTTACTGCTGAGATGTCCCATCTTATTTAGTGAGATTTGCTTCCAAACAAATGAAGGGGAAAGGTCCCACCATAGCGATAGCCACTGGTCTATGTCAAACATAGAAGTAACCAGCACTACATGCCTACAACTCTTAAGAGGATTGAGAGACCACTTTGACTGGTCAAATAACTCTTTGGGATGACCGCAGATCGTGGCCTACATCTACTGGTATGGTAAACATAAAACAGCATTGTGGAATCGCAGGAGTCTTGTGTATGGTGACACACTGGTTTTGAGAGGAGTGACTAATTCATCTTTCCTAATAGGTATCCAATGGGAAGTGTAATGAATGTGAACAAATGTGATTGACTTAGCATATTACACATGGGATGGCATGTTAGACTTTGATATTTATGCTTTAGCAGTAGTATGCTTGCTTTGATTATTGTGCCAAGTAAAAGAAACAAGGGCCAGGAAAGCCTGGTATAACTTTTCTACACTCGTTCCCTGAAGGAAGCTCACATGGCACCAACACCATCCTCTTTTTAGTGCCCAGCAAAAGTGTGCTTATTTTCCGAGGCATTTGGATGTTAGATTGTGTTGTACACGGCCCAGAGAGCTTTGGGCTTGGGCAATATAGAAATGAAACAGCAGCAGCAGCAGCAGCAGCGACCCAGCTGTTGCAGCTCCTTTGTGTTGTTCATTCTAGGCTGTGCATTAGTGTATTAAGGATGATTACTTTTCATATTATCTTTCTTTGAAATTATGTGTTATGGTGCTTATTTTATTTGCATTATTGTGCTGATTATGATTTATATTGATCTTGTCTTTTTTTGGTTAGACTAATTATGGATTTCTATACTTGTGTGTATAAATCACTTCAATGTTCTTTTTGCAACAGGAAGCAACACATAAATTTAATAATGCCAACAGCAGCAACAGCTTACCCAAATACTTCAAGTAACACTCACTGGATAAATTTGCTTAAGAGATTTTTTAAAAAAATATTTCCCCCTTTATTCTTTTTTCCTGAAAGGTTGAAAAAAATGATGACATTGACCAAAAGATTGAACAAGATGGCATCAAACCGGAAGATAAAGCTCATAAGGCAGCCATCAAAATTCAAGCTAGCTTCCGTGGACACATAACAAGGAAAAAGCTCAAGGGGGAGAAGAAGGGTGATGCCCAAACTACTGATGTTGAAGCTGGCGAGAAGAAGGAGGAAGTCCTTGCGAATGGTCTGGCAGATGGCAAAGCTGCCATTACAGAAGCTGCTCCGGCTGAGAATGCCCTGCCTGTGGATGGCAGCAAAGGAGGAAGCAGCCCTGCAGATGAGAAGCAGGGAGAAGGCACGGCTGACACGGGCTCGGAGCAGCCTGCCCCAAAGGCCACCACTCCTGCTGCCCCATCGGAGGAAAAGCCCACTCCTGCTGCCACTGAAACAGAAAGTGCCACTAAAGCTTCCACTGATAACTCACCATCCTTGAAGGCCGATGAAGCCCAAGTCAAGGAGGAACCTAAACAAGCCGATGTGCCTGCCACTGTCACCACCGCCGTTACCCCCAGTGCTGCAGAGGATGCTACTGCCAAGGCAACAGCGCAGCCCCTAACAGACTCGGCAGAGAATAGCCAAACCGAAGAGAAGACAGGTATGGTAATAAGAGCAGGGAGGAAGGTTGCTGGGGAGCAAAGGGAGGCAATGGGAAAGGAGGATGAGCACAGCTGATAAGCTGCCAGTTTTTTTATGGGACAGGACAGGAGTAGGTTTAAGGTAGGCAGAGCACACAGTCATCTATCCAAAGCAGAAGTTAGGAAGGGATTGTGCCAGGAGTGACCAACTGTGCACTCTTTGTGGCCAACAAGGGATTTTGCTGTGCAGCTGTCCCCTGAAAACTCTAAGGAGCTTTCATTCTTAATGAAAATAACTTGTTTTCAAACTCTGTGAGATCACAGTGTTTATTTACTTATTACACTTCTATACCTCCCAAAAGGCAATGTTCTCTGGGTGGTTCAAGGCAATTAAAAACAAAAAGGTTTAAAACTACAGTTTAAAGTAAAGATAGTGACCAAATAAAACATAGCAGCAAAGCAAAATTTTAAATCCTCTTCCTCCTCCTCCTGTAACAGATTTAAAACAATAGAAACTAGAGAATTAAGAAGCCCTTAATAAGTTCTAGCCTTTTTGGGAAGCACATTTCATGGTGCCACAACATAAAAATATTTTTCTTAGTAGCTGCTACACACTTCAAATCCTTTAATGTGGGCTCCCAGAGAAGGGCTGCTGAAACCAATCTTAGGGCCTGGGCAGTTGTGTATGGGAAAAGGAAGCCATTTAGGTTTTGAATGTCAATAGCAGCAATTTGAATCAGGCCAGTACATGTACATCCAGGGCAGATGAAACAGAGAGGCATAATATGATCATATTGGCCAGTGCCCATTAACAGTCTTGCTGCCCTTGTTCAGACTAGCTGATGTTTCTAGATTATTTTCAAAGACAGGCCCATTTATAAGGTATTGCAGTAATTCAGATGGGTGGTTACCAGAGCATGGATAACCTTCTGCCCTGTTAAGGACAGAGTGTATATCAGCTGATGAAAGAGGCTCCAGGCTACCAAATCCATCTCTGCTTCTAGTGACAATGCTGGATCCCAAAACACCACTCTGAACCCACTCCATAGTGGGAGTACAACCCCTTTCAGATTGGGTTAAAATGATGATCATTTGGGCAGATGATGACCCACTAATAGCACCTCTGTCTTTTCTGGACTGAACCTCAGTTTATCAGCCTTCATCCAGTCTATGCACCAAGCACACCCTGCCTCACCTAGATTTGATGAAAAAGAGAGGTAGAATTGGGCATCATCTACATACTGGTGGCACTTCAGTCCACATCACAGGAAACTTCCCTTAGTGGATGTTGATAGAATAGATCCCTGTGAATCTCCCTAGAATAATTGCAAAGGGATGGAGGAATATTTCCCAGTACCACCATTTCAAATTGGCTGTAGGAGCTCAACCACTGTAACACAGCTCAGATAGCCTACCATAGTCAATGGTATCAAAACCTTTAGAGTAATCCAAGAAAATCAATATGGTCATACTCCTCCTGGCCTTCCCTCAGCAAATATCATCCTACAGTTGGCCATTTTTGCCCTTGAGGATAGCACAATCTGAAAAATTTACCATTGCTCAAATAATAGACTTTGTCAAAATAGTGGCATCAAGGCCAGCTGAAGGTTTAAGAGCAAATGGGCAGTGAGGCAGGGCAAAAAACATGGCTTTATAGGAATCCTGAAAGGGTTCAAAACCTGAAAGTATCATGGGATCTGCACCAGAAACTGGACCCCCTGGTTGTTCTTTCTCCCCAGAGAAAGTTTTGCAGTTTTGGGGCAAGGTGTGGATTGTAGAGCTAGGTACCTCTAACATATTCCTTCACAGCAAACTAGCTTCAAGTGGAACAGTCATTCTGGAAAACTAGCCTAAAGATCAATATAGATGTATAGAATAAATACAGAGTTAGAGACCACTCAGCCTATGTTTGTGGCCTATTTATTTGTAAATACCTATGCAATTTTTGAGGCCCATTGGGCAAGACAGCTTCAATGGGCCACTCACCTTCAGTTTAGCCATCCAGCTCTCACAAGCCATGTTGCCTGTTGGTCTCCTCCTCACCACTACCACTTGGTTGCTAGTCAAAGATGCAGGCCCTGGCCTTTACTGCTCTTCTGTCAGACCACCACAGGTGTCTAGGTCAGAACACGAGGAGGTTGAACAAGCAAGTTACAAAAGTGTAAAGAAAAGGTAGTTTGTGGTCTCTTGCACGTGGTCCCTCAGAAGGTGCCTGAGTATGCAGACTGGTGATACTGACATCAGCAGAGGGTCAGTGTCACAGTGTTTGGGAGAATGAAAAGTGGTAAGCAGTAAATGTCTGAAGTATCAGTTGGGAAGAGCAGCCAAACGGAAACCTACTCATTCTCCTTGGTTCATACCATTTTTGGGTTTAATTCCAAAATGACTTCATTGGAGAGGGGCCAGAGATGATCTTGAATCAGCTTTCGCCAAATGGGTCTGTAAATCTCATGAGAAAGCCGTGTCTCTTCTAGTCATAAAGCTAGTAATCTGAAATGTTGAGTGAGATGGACTGAATAAGCAAGGACACACAGGTTGTATGTATAATAAACCTTATAATTCTGGTTGCCAAAAGCAATTTATTTTGAGCAGAAATTAGAATTTGCTTGATTTGTGGAAGTAAAAGGAACAGGTGTCAGGAAAGGGTGGTAGAGAAAACACTTAGGGCATCTGTAGTCAATTGGCATGATGAAAGAGGTTGCAATAGCCATTTATTCCAGCATACTCCCATTAAACTCAGTTGAACTGTGCCAGAGCGAATGGGTTGTGCAACATGGCCCATGAGGAGAAATAGGTCCAGGTGGCTTATCCTCAACTATGGCAAACATTGCATAAACCACCTCTGGTTGCTATATCCCATTGTTGTACTTTTCTGAATCAGCCAATGGAGAGCAAGAGACATCTACTGTAGTAATGCAAATGGTATCATGTGCAAGACAGTCCTCATGGCTCTGGTATACTGCACATCAGTTATGATTGTCTGGAATTTGAAAGTGCAGCATGATGCATAAATAATGCACAGTGGTGTAATGGAATTTCCTATACAGTGGCCGAAAGGACTTAGGGAGACATATTCCCTGCTTAAAGTTGCCACTGAACTTCTCCTGCCTTAAAAATTACCTTGAATGACGTTTTCAGCAGAATAGCTAAAATAAATAAGAACAAAGCCATAAACACAAGCTGATCTCAAATAGTTCAGTAAACTGACTGTCTAATTGGTCAAAAGTGAGAAGTGATTCACAAAAAGAGCCTACAAAAAGTGAAGATTTGACAGAAACAGAGGGTAATTTGGAGGATTTTTTTAGATTCAGTACTTTATAATCTCTTATATTGCAAACTGTGAATAGCGCAGATACCAGTTTGGAGACCTTGCTCCAGTTTGTGTAGCTGGTTTAGCTAGACTATGAATGCAGTTATTGAATTAGGGATGGGGGAGAAATTCATTTTAGTTCAAACCTACTCAACTTCTACTTTCAAAGCAATATTTGGAACAAAAAGAAATTATTTCATATTTATACTTGCCCAAAATTTATGATTCTGGTCTCCAATCAAGACTGTATAAAAGCGTATATTGGTTAAAATGTATGAAAGTGCATTATATTAAGGAAGATTGCTTACAAAAATATGAAAATTAGGCATATTTTGGGTATAATGTCTATATTTTATAGATAATGTATGTACATTTTTCTACATACATTATCTATAAAATGCAGATGCATTTTCATGCAGATAATTTTTTAAAAACTAGAAACTGATGGAAAAGCAGTATGAAATTAATTGCAAAAAATGAATTAGAAACTTAGAGAAACCAACACTGAAAGATTTGTCTGTCCCTAAAGTGAATCTATACCTTTACAAAGTTTCCATTGAATAGTGATCAAATGAGGAGTATGTTTCTCCTTCTTTACTATCTTCATCTTCTGGTTGATCGTAGCAAATCAGGGGAAAGTCAACATAATGTGTGGTAGGACTGATTATATTAAAACACACTGTAGTGGAGAATTGATTAAACTGGTTGAGCTATTAGTGGAAAATTGATTTTTTCCCCCAGAATGAAGCTGAACAAAAAATTATATTTGCTTAGTTTAACTGGCACTAAACTAACATGGGATAAAAAAATTCATTGAATTATGAAACAAAGACACAAAATTTTTTCTGCCTTCTCTGACAATGCAACCCGATGGGCCACTTGGGCATGCAGTATTTTTGAATGGCTCTATTGGGCAACCACTCATTTCTGCACATCTTCCTGTTGACTGTGCACTGTAGCATGGAGAACTGGAGAGCAGTTCAATAGTTTTATTAAACCAGTAACTCATAGGATTGGCATTAGAGGGAGTAAAACAAGGACCATAAGTCCTCTCTACTGGGTTATGTGATGAGTGGTAGCTACACCTAATCTCCCTTTAACCTTCTGCAGATCATATACCACTGTAGGGTAAAAGTAGAAGAATGAATGATTCCAACATAGTTTGTGATCTTTCAGCCTTTCAAGCCTAGCCACTCACTTTGAACAGCTTTTCTAACGTTCCACAGTTTTACTTCAAGCAGAGCTACGCAGTTACTGCAGCTTCAAAGTTAAGAGAGTAGCAATTTAGCTTCACTGAAGACCCATTCAGCTGGGTCTTAATGGAAGCACTATTTGGTACCTCTTGCCTCCACTGTCCAGCTTTGTGTAGGTTAGCTCCCACCTTACTTTGAGATGCATGGATATCTCTTTCCCCAGTACCCTCATCACTGAATGCTCCAGCTTTCACTACTCATCACAGATCACCTTACCTTTACTTCTTTGCCATTGTGGTAGTAGTTGTCTCCCTCCAGCAGTCTCTTCTTCACAATAGAGTTTTCATTTAAAAAGGTCATCGAAGTTCTATAGTTGCTTGAAAGCTCATGACTCATTTATCTGTTCAGCATGGTGGAAGGAGAATAAGTTTGAGATGTTGGGATACAGAAGCATTTCTGTGCTTCCTCTCAAAGGGGATCATAGTTTTGTGCGTGCACTCTATTGGTGTTTTGTGCA